TAGTTTGTATAATATTTCAGACCATTTGTTTTTGTGGGGGTGTCGGACTTCCAGTATCTCACTCAGCACAATGTTTTCCAGATTCATCTATGCCACAGCATGTATAAGAACATGATTTGTCTTTATGACTGAATACTATGCCATTGTACTGAACAACAGTGCCATTGCGGCAATTCTGACTGCTAGCGGCTCTTTAGGACAGGGTAGAACTGCCCCTGCAGGTTTCTGAGACAGTAACTGTTTAGGGGAGTAGACGGCCTCATCTTTCTCTGAGGAGCAGCGGGAGGTTTCAAACTACTGACCTTGTGGTTAGCAGCCCAATGAGTAACCACTGAGCCACCCGGGTCCCTTTGTGTGGATGGACTGTCATTTTTTCTTCTCCATTGCTGATGGAAACTTGGGTTGTTTCTACCTTTGGCTAGTGGCCACGTGACTATGTATGTCCCTGCTTGCATGACTCTTGGGTGTATACCTAGGGATGGAGTTGCTGCATCATGTAGTAACCCTCTCATTCACTTTTTGGGAAACACTGCATTCCCCAGAGGGTTTAACATTTTACCTCCTCACCCGCAGTGGGTGAGGGCTCTGGCGTATCCCATTACAGAGTTGAACATCACATGGTAGTGCTGAGCTGCGTTTCCTTAGTGACTGTTGATGCTGAGCGTCTTCTCGTGTGCTATCAGCCATTCTTCTCGCTTTGGTAGAATGTGTTTGACCCTTTTGTCCATCTTGGATTGGGTTGCTTGTCTTTGGGCTCTTCAGTTGTAGGCTTCCTTTCTAGATTTTGGATATGAAATCCTTACCAGATACTTGGCTCCCGAAGATTCTCTCCCATTCCAATAGGCTGCCTCTTCACTGTGATAAAGTCCTGGATGTGCAAAAATTTTTTTCATTTTGATAAAGTAAAACAGATCTATTTCTTTACTATTATTATTTTTGGTGTCATGGATTAAAATCTATTGTCAAAAACTGAAGTTCAGGTTTTACCCCTGTTTTCTACTATGAGCATTATGGTTTTAATCTTATACTTAGGTAATGCGTCTGTTGTGAGTTGCTTTTTGTATATGGTGTGAGATACTGGTCCAAGTTGATGCTTTTACGTGTAGAGATCCAGTTGTCCCAGCAATTGTGTTATAAGTTTTGCTTCAAGTATTTTGAAGTTTGGTTCTTAGGTGTATACACATTTGGGGTATGAATGAATATTGAAAGTACTTGTGTTAGTTCGGGTAGACTAGAGAAACAAATCCAGGGACACTCATATGTGTATAAGAAAGAGTTTTATATACAAGAGTAACTATACATTAACAAAACATCCCAGCCAAGTCCAGACCAAGTCCAGAAGTCCAATATTAGTCCATATGTCCAATACCAATCTATAAAGTTCTCTTCAGACTCACGAAACACATGCAATGATGCCAAATGCAGGAAGATCACAGGCCAGTGGGTGGATAGTCTTGTGGATCCAGTGACGGTGGACGCATCTCAGCACTGGCATGGATCTCCCATGGCTCCTCCAGGTCCAGGGCTCTCGCTGCCATATGCATAGCTCCATGTGTCTTGTCAGTAGAGCATCTCTCAGGGAGTGAGCAGAGAGAGAGTGTCTCCCACCTCCCAGGAGGAAATACAGGAGTTCCCAGAATCCTCAGGAGAAGGCCATGCCCACACAGAGGCCTCATTGGCAGTATCCAGATTGACAGTCTAGACTCCACCCCTACACGATTAATCCTCAAATTGACACCAGATTATGTAACTACCACAGTCCTGTGGCCTGATAAAAGGATAAACTGATCTGTCTTGGAAGAAGTATGTCCAGAGTGCGCCTGAGAGGCAAGGCTGGTGAGACTTTGTCTTACATACTTTGGACATGTTGTCGGGAGAGACCGGTCCTTGGAGACGGACATCGTGCTTAGCAGAGGGGAGGTGAAAGAGAGGAAGGGCCTTGAGGTGCTGGACTGACAGTGGCTGTGACAACGGGTGCAGGCACAGGAGCGGTCATGAGGATGGTGCCGGACCGGGCAGCGCTTCCTGCTGTTGTGCATGTTGTCGCAGTGGGTCAGAGCCCACTCCGTAGCAGCGATCCGCAACAATGCGCATCTTCTTTATCTAACATCTCTCTTCCACCAATCATTTGCCAGTTTATTGTACGGTGGCGACTTGATGTTTCCTCTCACGAGACTCCGTCACCCTGTGTGCAGCACAAACCATCCCAGAGCTGGGTGACGCGAGAGGGACACGGTGCCAGGACTGCAGGCGGCTCATCAATGTCCTGCGATGAGCAGGGAGCAGTCTTGCTCTCTGAAAGCCAAGAGGACTTGAGGCCCCTTCTGGTGAGGTTCGAAGTCTATAGCCTTCAGTAGGGATCTCACATCAACATAAAGAAAAGAAAACCCCTTACAACTGGGCCAGTGTGTGAGACCGGGTTGACTAGAGAAACAAATCCAGTGACACTCATATATGTGTGAGAAAACGCATTATACCAAGAAGTAATTGTATAGCAAGCAAACAGCCCAGCCCAGCCCAACTCAAGTCTGTAAGTCTGATACTAGTCCACACGCCCCTTTTCTGACTCACACAGCCACATGCTATGATGCAGAATGCAGGAGGGCCATCGTCTGGTGGATCCAATGGCAGTGGATATATCTCCAGGGCTCTGGCTGCCCTCAGGGTCGGCCAGCAGGAAGGTGAAGGCAGAGAGAGGGGAGGCTCCCAGGACCCTCCTGATGAGGAGGCCACGCCCACCAGGAGCACCATCAGGCTATGACTTGGTTGACAGGTTGACTACCACCCCCTGCATTTGTTATATCTCCAAGTTGACGTGAAATGACATAACGACCCAGCCAGGAAGCCGCATCATGACAAACACACGCGAGATTGAAGTCGTGAAGAATTTCACCGCACTCCGATCCACAGTCAGGGCTCGTGGAAACAGCAGTCAAGAAACCAAACATTGTATTGGGCAAATCTGCTGCACAAGACCTTGTTAAAGGGTTAAAGAGTAAAGATGTCCTTCTGAGGACTAAGGTGCCCTGACCCCAAGCCGTGGCATTCATTTGCAGGCACCTCATAATGCATGTGGAAACTGGACAAAGAACGTAACGAAGAATCCATGTACCTGAATTTTGAAGTGGATGCGCAAGATGGACTCTCCCGGGGAATGCTGACTCATAGAGCCCTCGGTGGGTTTCCGAGAGGGTAACCATTTACAGGAGTGGAAATTCCAACCGTGCTCTCGTGGAGCGGATGGACTGCGGGCCACGTGGATCGAAGGCCACCGTGTCACCACTACACCGCCGGAAGAAAGAGCAAATCCGGCTTGGAGGAGGCACGGCTAGAATGCTGCTCAGCAGCGAGGGTGACGAGCTTCCTCTCTGCTGTGGACACGCTGTCAGGAGAGACCAGCCTCTGGAGAAGAGCATCCTGCAGGGGAAAGTGGAGGGGCAGCGAGGAGAGAGGACACGGATGGACACAATGGTTGCAAGAATGGGCTCACACGGAAGAACAGCTGTGGGGAGGGCGCACGGCAGGGGGGCTACATTCCCCTGTCACGGGGTGGGACCCATTGATGGCACCTAATAACAGCAGCATTGCCTGGGCCCGGCACGGCGGGGATTGAGGGGAGGGCGCCGGCGGGGCGGGGTTGCGCCTGTTCTGTTCTGCGCAGGGTGACTATGGGTTCGGACGGAGCTGACCGCGCCTGGCAACAGCATCCTTCTTGGTCACACGCCACAGAGACGTCAGATTCTGTGCCGCTCCAGGGGATGGTCCCTGGGAGGGTGGGGGAGGTGAACTGCCAGTTTGGATGGATGCCCCTGGGCCGCCCTGCCGCTTCGTGGGCAGGGCCATCCCTGTGTTAACCATCATCACGCCGGGCTTCGCCAGTTGAGTGAGAGGCACCTGCTGGCGCCAGCACCGGGCCACGGAGGCAGGGAGAGGCAGATGACCTGCCGCAGAGCCTCCTGCCCCTCTCTGAGCTGACTCGGTGCTTTGAGAGACGTCTCCCAACACCCTACTGGAGAGCGCTGTGCCTTCTCTGAGCTGTCTCGGGGCGCTGCGCATCTCCCTGTGCAGGGGTGGAGAGCAGAACTTGGATCCCCACATGCGTGGAGGCCAAAGCAGGACCATGATGACCCAGGAAGGCCATGCCTGGGGGCGTGTGGCTACAGAGTCATGTCTGGGTGGCATGGCCTTGTGGGCCCTTCCTGCCTCTCCTGGCTGCAGGGCCACAGGGCCGAGCGGCTGCCATCTGCAGGTGTCATCCCAGCTGAGCCTGAGGTCACACCGCTCTGGGCTGGTATGAGGTAGGGGCTGGGCTCGCGCCCCTGGTGACCCCGTGCTGCCTCCTCTCTTTCAGGACCGAGAGGATGATCCCGCCGGGGGAGTGTCTGTATGCTGGCCGCAAGAGAAGGAAGCCCGTCCAGAAACAGTGAGCATGTGGCCGTCGGCGCCGAGCCTGAGTGACTGGCCTTGTCTGAGGGTCCTGGGTGCTGGGGATGCACCCAGGTGGGAGGTCTGGCAGCACACGGGGTGGGCTGCAGAGGTCAGAGCCCACCTGCCTCGTAAGCCCCCATGGAGGGAGCAGACTCCTCAAGACAAGGCCAATTCCTCAGCCTCCTCACCCGTGCAAGACGCCCTGTCTGTGTGAGTGTGTGGTGTGTGTGGCATGCCTGTGTACAGGCCTGTCTGTGTGTACGTCTGTGAGTGTGTTTATGTGTAGCTCTATGAGTTTTTGTGTATGTGTGCGTGTGTCTGTGGACCTACGTGTAGGCTGAATGTCCGTGTGTGAGTGTGTCTGCGTGAAGGTTGTCTGTGGGTAGGTGTGTGAGTGTCTATGTGTGTGTCTGTGTGTGTCTGTGTGAAGGTCTGTCTGCAGGTAGGTGTGTGAGCGTCTGTGTGTGAGTGTGTCTGCATGAAGGTTGTCTATGGGTAGGTGTGTGAGTTTCTGTGTACGTGTATGTGAGTGTGTCTGTGTGACGGTTGTCTATGGGTAGGTGTGTGAGTTTCTGTGTACGGGTGTGGGAGTGTGTCTGCATGAAGGGCTGTCTATTGGTAGGTGTGTGAGCGTCTGTGTGTGAGTGTGTGCGTGAAGGTCTGTCTGTGGGTAGGTGTGTGTGTGTGTGAGTGTGTCTGCATGAAGGTTGTCTATGGGTAGGTGTGTGAGTGCTTTGAAGCTGTGCCTAAGGTTTTCAGGGCTCCTTCCTCCAAAGTGGGAGCCCAGTCCTTCTCCGAGGTCTGTCCGTCGTCTGGACGCTCCTCTGAGACCTGCTCCCTGTGGGTGACCCTGCTGGCATTTGGAATACCAGTGACATAGTTCCAGCATCACAGCAACACACAGGCCACCCCAGTGCGACAGACAGACACGTGGTAGATGGACACAGTGGCAGCAACCGTGGGCTCAGGCAGGGGGACAACTGTGAGCACGGCATGGACTGTGCAGTGTCGGGTCCTGCTGTACATGGCGTCTCTGTGGGTCAGCGCAGCTCAGTGGCGCCTCACAACGACAGCCACAGGTGTGTGTGTGTGTGTCTGCGTGAAGGTCTGTCTGTGTGTGGTCTGTGAGTGTCTGGGAGTTGTTCACGTGTGTTTGTATATCTGTGTGAAGGTCTGTCTGTGTGTACGTTGTGTCTGTGTGTTTCTGTCTCCACGAAGGCCTATCCATGAATAGGTCTGTCCTTGTGTTATGTGTGAGTGTGTGTGTGTGTGAACGTGTGTGTCGTGTATGAGTACGTCTGTGTGAGTGTGTCTGTGGGTAGGACTGTCCATGTACAGGCTGTGAGTGTCCACGTGTGTGTTTGTCCCTCTGTGTAGAGTCTGAGCGTGTCTCTATGTGAGTGTCTGTGTGAAGGTCTGTCCCCGTGCAGGCTGGTCTGTGAGGGTCCATGTGCGAGTGTGTCAGTTTGTGAGTGTCCGTGTGTATGAGTGTGTGTGTCTGTGTGAAAAACTGTCCGTGTGTAGGCTGTGACTGTCTGTGCCTGTGACTCCCTGTACCTGCCATCAGAGCTCCAGTTTCTGGCCCCACACCTGCAATGGGGAAGCCACTGCCACCCCAAGTGCCCAGACGATCACTAGGGTGTGTGTGTGTGTCTGTGTTGGGGTGTGAAGATCCCAGGCCTGAGTGGGTGGGTTTGTGTGACTGTGTTGGGGTGTGAAGGTCGCAGGGCTGAGTGGGTGGGTTTGTGTGTCTGTGTTGGGTGTGAAGGTCGCAGGGCTGAGTGGGTGGGTTTGTGTTGGGGTGTGAAGGTTGCAGGGCTGAGTGAGTGGGTGTGTGTGTCTGTGTTGGGGGTTTGAAGGTCGTGGGGCTGAGTGGGTGGGTTTGTGTGTCTGTGTTGGGGTGTGAAGGTCGCAGGGCCGAGTGGCAGCTCTTTCCCCAGCGCAGGGCGGTTGGTGCTCTGTTTACCTACCTCATTAGGGCCTTCTTCTCTGTGTCTGGGCACATGACCCCTTTGACCTAAGAACCTGCCAGGGCTAGGGGTCACCTGCCTGGAGAGGTGGTCTCTATCTTCTAACCAGGATCCAGCACGGTGTCCCTGTACTGTCTTGTCCGACCCTTGGTGATCTTGTGCAAAGAGTCCATCCCAGCTTAAGACTTGGAGACCAAGGCCGGAGACTGAGGGGGGCTGATGCTCAATAGGAGGGGTCACTGGTTAGGGCACGTCCTGTGGGACACGGCCTGGTCAGAGGTACCAGGCCACCCAGAGGAGGTGGGGCACAGCCAGGGATTGGGGTGGGTGGAGGAGCGGGTGTGCCCATCAGGGATTTGTTTTGTGAACATGTTTGTCACATTAAGTGGAAAAGAACGTCGCTGCATGCCAGCCCCGCTCTCAGTGCACACGTGCCGGGGAGGATGGCGGGGGTCAGGGTCTGTTCTTGCTGTTCCCTCCGGCCAGTGACTCTCGGGCAGAGGGTGTGTGACTGCAGAGTGTGTGCGTGACAACACAGAGCAGGGTGCTGTCTGCCTTTGACGCCGGAGGAAAGTAGCCTTTCTCGGGACCAGCAACCCTGGAGGGTGGAGAGAGAGGGCTCCATGGAAGCTAGGATGGCAAAATGTCATCTCGCCTACTTTGGACTTGCCGTCAGGAGAGACCAGCCCTGGCGAAGGACAGGCTGCTCAGGCAAGTGGAGGCAGGGACGGAGAGGAAGGCCGGGACAAGATGGATGGACACCGTGGCTGCAACAAGGAGCTCAAGCCCAGGGACCATTGTGAGGATGGCGCGGTGTTTTGTTCTGTTGTGTGTAAGGCTGCTAAGGGT